ATATTTTATATAATTGATGAGAGATTAATTGAATTCTTTTGAATCGCCTATCGAATCTGGTGGGAGGAGATGATCGTCCATTTAGATTTGATCTATTCGATTATCTCTCATATAAGAAGGGGAGTGGCTATTTCGGCATACCCAAAATTTGAACGACCAATTTTAGACCAAAGGCCGCTACAAATACATTTCTATTACCCATATCTATATATTTAGATCAAATCCTCCAAGAATGCTAAAAGCCGCGAAGACATAATCATTATTCAGACGATATTTAAATCCGATTAAATCAATACAATATGCAAAAAACTATATATAATATATAATATATATTTTTATATAAATATAAATAATCTTTTATATATAATGACATACAATATTTTAATATATATATATTTATATATTAAAGAATATCCATTGCTTCCAAAAACGATAAGATATATATATAATAGAACGATACCGACATTTTCTGAAAAAGAAAAGGAAATGAAGGAATCAACATGAATATCAATGAAATATTTATAATATATATTAACTAATATATAAGAAATATTTATTACAATTATTTCATAATCAAAAAATTTTATGATTAGAAATTGATTTAATCTATTGCAGGCAAAATTAAATATATTATTATTGCATATATGTGTATAGAAAATATTCTATATATATATATTCCTTTTTGATGTCATTATAGAAAAGAATTGATTCCCCTCGGAACCCTGATCAGATCTGATCAAATCAATCAAAAATTGGCGCCAAGAGCTCTGCCAAAGGCGGCATATCACATTCAAAAATTGGCAATATATCCTAATGGCGCATTCCAATCCCCACCAAATATATATATATATTTTGTAATGCCCCTGCAAAGGATATTCTCCAATGTGCATTGTGAGGCCAATCACCCTGTATGCAGCTCTGATTATTGAACATCCATGCCCACAATAGAAATAGAAGATCATGACCTCGGTGCGGAGGCAACGGATATAATTCTTGTATCCCATTGTATCAAAACGTCAAATGTCCAGGCAAAATACGAATGAATACATGAATATATATCACCTGTGCATGCCATCTGTCAACCAATCTTTGGATCTTGATATATTCTTTTCCATCCCAATTGAGGACCAGAGGTGCAAATTCAAATCCAATATCCTCAATGGAATCATCTAAGCGTGCTTCCCGGAAAAGGGTGGTGGGAGACACAACAGGCATAATTTATCTAAATCAATCTGCAAATTACCCTATAATATGTATATAATATAGAATTATTATAATATAGATTATAATTAATATATATAGAAAAATTCGTTAAAATAGAATATAGAATAGATTTTAAAATAAAGATAATAGATAATATTATCATTATTCTATTATATCTTATTATTGTGTTTTATTCTATATTTAATATTATTCTTTTATATTATTATATATTGTATATTATATTTATATATATTTTTTTATTTTATGTATATTATATATTTATATATATTTATTATATATAATAGATTTATAATATATAAGAATTTCTATGATATTTTTTTGTAATATTATCTATTTTTAGTTGTGGATATTCTTATAATTATCTTTAATCATTTTAAATATATCATATATCAATAAAAACATTATTTGCAATTTTTTAAAAAGAATCAATCATTTAATCGAAAATGATATTTAATAGTTATATAATATTTATATATATATATTAATTATTATTTTTATTCATTACATATTAAAAAATTATATTTATATATATATATTGTTCCATTTGCCAATAGTTCATGCTATGGGATACTATGGGGTCTTGCAAAAATAATAGGCGGACGAGCGCCGTCGGGTTACCGTCAGAATTGGTGGGCGGATGCTATCCCAATCATATTTTGAATTTATCCCGATTATATTGGAACACTCCATTCGTATTGTGACAGTATCCCGATCATACTATAATGGTGTCCCGACACCATGACCGGGTTACCATCAGAATATGCCCGGCACCCCATCCCAACATAATCGGCACATCGTCGCAATATAACCATAACATAACCGGGACACCATCACAATATGACCGGGACACCGTCGCAACATGACCGGGACACCATGACAATATGACCGATCATATTGCGACGGTGTCCCAATTATATTGTGGTCATATTATGACGATGTCCCGATTATGTTGATGATGGTATCCCGGTCATATTGCGCTAGTATCCCGGTCATGTTGCAACAATCATAATGAGATGGTGTCCAGGTCATGATTTAATAGTGTGTTGGTCATGCTTTGTTAGCGTCCCGATCATGTTGTGATGGTGTCCCGATCGTTTTGTGACGGTGTCCGGTCATATTGTGACGGTGTTGCGGTCATGTTGTGACGGTGTCCCGGTCATGTTGTGACGGTGTCCCGGTCATGTTGTAACGATGTTTCGATCATGTTTCGATAATGGCCCGGTCATGTAATGGTAGTGTTCCAATCGTTTTGTGTTAGTGTGTCGGTTGCGATGGTGTCCCGGTCATATTATAAAAGTGTTTCGATCATATTAGGATACTATGCCGATAACATTAACATAATATGCCATTTAATCCAATATGTCAATTTTAGAAATATTATCCTGCAACACATCAATATCCTAATTCCCATTACAACCTAGCAATTTGCATCGATCGAAAAATAATCAAAGGCGAATTCGATGCACATTGCCTAATCGTCTTAAAAAATATTGTTCAAGAAATAGAATATATATAATAATAAAAAATTATATGTCATTTTTCAATCGCAACGACATTATTTTAACAATAATATCCTCCAACGAAATCAATAAACTTGCAATTTTGCAATTTGCATCCATCAAAAACTATATCAAAATTAAATTCCAAATAAATTAATAAATGCCACCAATAACGGCAACCTATAAGAATATCATTATCCAAATATCAAATTCAAAATAAATGTATCCAAATAAATAAAACATAATAAAATATATATTAAATTCAATTTTATATTTAATTAATTTATTTTTAGATTATTCTAAAATTATATAAATAATCTATAACAATAGAAATATATATATATATAATTATTTTATTTTATGCAATTTCTTTAAATATCAATGGGACATATATCAATTACCAGGCAAAGCCTCGATACAACAAAGGAAATGATTGGTAGATCGATAATATATAATATAAATAATTGAAGGATATTGAAGGATTGTTTCTTGGCACGCAAGTGAACATTCCTCGCTGCACCAAGTCACTCAAGAGCCCCAAGAAGGAGAAGCCGCAACCAATGAGGAACAGGAATGTCAAGCCAACCTGTGACTTTGGGACACTTGGGACTTTGGATCCGGTATGATAGGCCTCTGCTAGCTTCACTCGCCTTCAAGCTCTCAGTTTCCGAGCTCTTTGATGCATCGAGCTCTTTGATGCAAGAGTTTATGCTGTTGCCGGGCCATCACCTTATTATTCACAAAGTAATAGGCCACAGCAAATGTTCTTTTCATCGTTTGGGTTGAGCTTGGGGATCTATATATATATATATATGCGGCACATATTGTCTGTGTCTGGGTGTGTTTTGGTTGATCACAAGTGAACTGTTCCTTCAACCAAAACACACCCAGACACAGACAATATGTGCCACATATATATATATATATTATGTTTGTCAAACTTGTCTCTGCACTACCAACTCTCTGAAACAACCTTGGGTAGCTTTCCAGATTGCAAAAGCAACCCCTATGCTCTTGTTGCCAACTATTGCTTCTCCTTGCCCTCTTTCCAATGAAGTGACTAGTCACTACAGTCCTGGCAGATTGGTGATCCCTCCCGAAGAGATTTGTCTAGACATTTTGGGACGACATTCCCAGATCGCTCAAGGGTCCTCAGATCGCTCAAGGGTCCTCAGATCGCTCAAGGGTCCTCATTGGGTCCACAATCCGGTGACGACACTATCCCGAATGATCGCGACACGATCGTGTGCCTGCTCACTCCATGAAAGTGCTCGCGACTGCCTGCAAAGCGACATCGGCGATGGAGTCACCACAGTTAATAGAAACATATAGAAAAATACATTGCAATCCGAACCAATTGCAAAGAGCTGATCTGAGAATCTGGTAAGCTTTGGACAATATTGTCATTGTGTTAATCTCACCATCAAGATCTTCTTGTGCATTCTTGTGCACCAACATCTTCCAAACCTCTCCCTGACTTGAGCATGTTTCAAGCTGTTTTATTTTTCCGGAAGCTGAGGTTGATCCTTTCGGCCTGGAGAGCTTCCAGTAGCACAGTACTGGCATTGTAAATGCCTGCGAAGCTGCTGTGTGGCCGAGAAGCTGCTGTGTCAGGAGTTGGGGAGGGTATCCCTGATGTATTTGTCAACAGAAAGTTCCAAGAGAGGATATGGGGCTTTGGTTTTCGTACCTGGGTTTGGCCAGTGTATGTCATCCCCCAAGTAAAACCACGTATAGGCAACGGACTCCTAGTTCGTGCTCGGGGCGCTTACATCTCCGCACTCAGCATGTCCACACGTAGCCGCCTTGCTTATTATGTGGTTCAGGCCATTTTTCCGTCCGGATTGCTTGAGCATACCGTTCGCTGGTGATCACTTTAAGATTACCGAATCGTTTGATATCCTGGGTTGTTCTGGCCGCCTTCAGCGCAAGACTAAATTCATCTAAGGTTAACATCACAGGACCCAGGCTAACTCTAAGAATCTTGAACATATGATTTAAAACAGCAAAACGAAAGCAACAAAATGCAAATGAAAAAGCAAACCAAACAAATACAAAAAGCAAAAACACATGGAAAAGCAAAAGCAACAACGGTGTTTTTTGCTTTTTGGATTTGCTTTTTAGATTTGTAATTACTACAGTATATGTTTCGTTTGCATTTTGTTGTTGTTATTGTTGCTTTCTTATTATTTGGAAAAATCATATTTATGCTAAGTAGTTTACATAAATCTAAGGAAGATCAGTGAGTCCAATCTGCTTCCAGAGTCTTGTTGCTCATTTGTCACTTGCGTTGGAACCATTTGAAATGTCACTGCTTACATGTTATTTGCGGTCGGAGGTCTATGGATGGGTAGCCCGTCTCATGGGAAGAATCCTGATTGGGAACCGGATTTTGATAGCCATTCGCGGCTCTTACTTGGAGATCGTTGAATGATCTGGCTGATGTCAAATCGCAGGAGGTGGATGGATGGCAACTTTGTGTGCTGAGACCTTGGGTGGCAGTCTGCGGTTGATTGGACAGCAACGGCACTTGACCGTGAGCCTACGGCTTTAGATTAAAGCATATGCATGACTTGATCTCAAACGCTGCCAGTGCTTGAGTTTCCTTCAAAGCTGCACCTGTCGACTTTGACAGGATGGTTGTGTTTTCTTTGAGCGTTTTTCGGTGCTTCCTACCTGTGAATATATTCCTTGGTGGCGCCATTGGCGCCAGATCGCTGCTTCTAGCCACCTATGAACTTAGGCCCAGGCTGTCGCAAATCAAGAACCCACACACACACACACATCCCATCGCTAGCCATGACTTGGAAGCTTTGGTCTTTCTGAGACAGGGCCAAAGACGGTCAAAGGGTTCACAAACATGCCAATCGTTTTCTTGGGGCTTTGATCTACAGAGGTAACTGCCTACTTCAGTTCATTGTCAGTTCTAGGCTAATCTGTCGTGGCAAAGCTTTAGACTCTTGGTCTTTGGAAAGACAGACTTGGTGGCCTTGCTTCGGGCCGTTTTACCGCCACTTAGGTCATTGGCATCGCGTCTCACGCGCATCGGGGCATCTTGAGGAGGGGTGTCTTCCGAACTGTCTTGGATTTCTGCTGTCCAGGCAATCTGGAACGAGTGTGAGTGGGGTGGTGCGGAGGCGGCAGCCCTTGTTGGCGTTCTTGCTGTTCTTGGGCCGATGCCGTGGACGACGTATGCAGTTGTTACCAAAGCCGTCCGCGTCCTCATGGTAAAAGTGGTAACTAGATGTAACTAGATAAAATGGCGCAGCAGTATTCTGTTGAATAGAAGTTCGATTCCAAAACCAACATGTTGGCTTTCATTTGTCTTGAAAGGAAGGCGGTAGGCCGGCGGTAGCAGTTTTTCCACTTCAGACTTTGGCCAAGGTACGATATGCGCACAAATGGCGCCGCCCAAGAAGTTGAGCAACAGTGCCACTTGGGCTGAAAAGAAGGCGGCCACTCCTGAAGTGCAAACTCAACCAGGAAGGGATGGAAGAACAACTGACAAACAGTACTGCCTAACTGATGCCCATGATAATATGATAGCAAAGGCTGGATGATAAAATCGGAAAACATGGCTTGATGTCAGATTCACTTGTCAAAGTGCTTGCCAATCCTGTTGAACTGGAGTCATGCTGATCTGATCCGCGCCTCCAGAAGCGGCTAGTATACAGGGCAGCAAAGAACCTGTGGCTGATGCTGATCCCAAGAGGCCCAGCCCGGTTGAGTGGGACGCAACTGACGGCAGCGGCTTCGATGTGTCAAACAGCCAGCGCAGCTGGTGGGAACATGATGAATCTCTGAACAAAGCAGCATGCAACAGCACACCTTGAACTGTCTGGGATGTACCCAGAAGTTGCTGCAAGGAGGAGGTCAAAGTAGGCAGCACGAAGGCCTTGCTTGTGGAGAGCTCACTAGCTTCATCAACACCAACTGCTCAATCTCAAACCTCCTCATCATTCCGAATCTCTGCACGCTTTTCAATCAGAAGAACGATTTCAATAGCGTTGTGGAGGTGCTGGCCCCTGCCAAGAAATATCGATGCTGAAGAATCCCAATCGGCCTGCATCACTACGAGGCGTATTGCCATAGCTACCTCGGCAATAGTCTGATGGGTCAATTCCTTCACAAAACGCGGATCACATGTGGTTGTAGTGTGTCCTATGCATTCCCCGAACAAAGCGTGTCCTTCTATCGATCTGTTTCATCTGTTTCTATCGATGGGACCGCAAACTTCACATCTTCACAAACGAGCTTCAGCAGAAGCTGCAGCCAGCCAATGCATCTTTGGAAGTGGCCTCGGGTTGAGAGCTCTTCTTGGAATAATGCAGGTAAAATCAACTGGGTGAGAGCTTGCTATGATCGTCACCCTTCAAATCCCACCCTATTGGCACGCAAAATATCAGAGGGAATCTACACTAGCGTGAATAATCCATCCTATCTGCCTTCAACACCTTAGATGAAACAATGCAGAAATCATATTACTGTATATAATATAATATATATATATATGTTACTGTAATTCATGTATATACCTTTCATAAGATCATTGAATGTAATGTCCGGATGCAGCTTCGTGGCTGGAAGTCCCGAGTCCATCCCACATTTTGGACGGCACTCGGCTGTAGAGAAGAACCGAAGAGCAAGTAGCCTGTGCGGCATTTTGGCGCAAACCTCCAAGGTTGTAACCTACTAGCGATGGCCTCCAACCTAATAGCGGATAGCGCAGCCCTCTGGTTTAAACGGCTTAAACTCAGGCTCGGTTTAAACGCATATGTTAAAACAAGTGCATGTTTCAACCAAAGAGTGCCAGCTCAATGCGTAGGTCTACACTGGCGGCCCTTGGTGGCACCCAGTGGTGACCTTCCTCGAGGTGCAACCAAAGCTGTGGAACTGGTGGAACCGTGAATCGTTTTAAACACGTTTATACCAAAGCTGTTTAAACACGTTCTGGAACAGTCGCTCTACGTCATGGGCATGAGCCTTCTGTGAGGCCTGTGCTTGGCGCCATAGCAAAATGGCCACACAGCCGACAAACAATGAGTCAGCTCAATTTGAAATCATCATCATCATCATCATCATCGTCGTCGTCGTCGTCATGATCAGCATCATCGAAGCCTGTTTAAACCATGTTTGGACAAAGGAAACCCCAAAGCAGCTGGAAACATTTTAATGTTTGTAACCCCCAACCTAATACTGTAAACCTTCGAGGGTGTCAGAGTTTGTCGTGTGAAACTCCCAAACCATGATGTATGTACGATGTATTACATTGTCATTAGCTGACCCCAACCTCCAACAAATTCATGGGAGCATTGGAGCTTGCAAGAACATCACAACCGTAGGAAAAAGGCGACCCGTGGCTAGATTTGGTGTCATTTGATTGATATTATAGGCCTGTGATCTCTTGGGCGTGTACTCCACATCTCCAAAGAGCCCTTGAGAAAAGGACAAGTACCATTGATTACAACCCGCTGCTTGGGGAGGTTCCCTATTTGTCGTGGCATGTTGAGGGTATCTGAGACCGTATGTCATACAGCGACTTGATGAGACGACAGTCTCAAGTTGTGATAGTATGGCGTTGTGCCAGTATGGGGCGTGCGTGCGATGTGGTGCTCTGACACGATGCATGTGATGTGGCTGAGTATGGCCGTGGATGGAGCCTGTGGTCTCTTGGACTGAGGATGTGGTTTAGACCATGGCCGACCTTAGCCGCCATATCATAAGGCCGCTGCTTGAACCTACAACGTTCGCACTCCAGTCTTTTCCCAGCAGGTGATACCTACTATAATTTTAGCAGGTGATATGTTATATGTAATATCAAGCTAACAAGCTCTTGATGTGGCCAGCTGGGCGTGACTTGTGAGTATTTCACATGGAATCCCCTTCCTTGTGGGTCTCTTGGTGCAGCTGCGACAACTTGGTGCTGATTTCACGTCGATGGCCAATGGATGGCCATCGGGTCTGTGGAGCTCCACCGGCTCCGCCCCACCTGCAAGTCCCACAGCAAGGTATAGGACAGCAGCAGCGCCATAGGCCCTTCGTAAACCTGGGCGAACTAGACTGCTAAACAAATTGTTGGTGAATCCACAACAAAAAACACAATAGGTTGACAGTCCTATTGACACACCTCACATCCGTAGTCCACCTGGAGTCTGCCTGGTCTCTGGGGACATCCTTTTCTTCACTTCAGGTGTCAAGCAAGGTCCTCAGGGTTTCAAGATTCAAGCTCAAACTGATTGACGACATTCTAACAAAGAACACCACCCGGCTATCCTTCAAGCCTTCGAAAACCATCACAGTCATTTTATCGATACCTGATGATGGAAGCAGAGTGCTCCAGTAGGAGGCCACTTTGCTGTTTCCAGCACGTTGACCCAAGGAACAAATTGGAAACAGCTCTGGTTGTCGCATCCGTCTCTGAATGTCGGGGAAGAAGGCATGCCTAAACGGAAGCTTCCGGAACGACACGACACGCCCGAGGCTGTTAAGAGGCTGTTTTTGGTTTCCATGACGTTCTGAGAATCAGATTTGATCAGGTACAAAGAGTCTACAGTGGAAAATGAAATGGGGAGTGTGAGAAGTTTTCATCGGAACGTAGACCGTTGCTTATCACATCTCCGAGACCGTTGCTTATCACATCTGTGTTGCATATATGATTTTTCTTTCAGTTTCCCCACCTCTACTAACCCTTTCCTGGTGTGTCACGCGACTTGTTTGATCATCGACAATCGTAGAACAAATGGTATGCAAAAATGGTATGCAATCGCTTGGATTGGGGCGCTGGATCACGCATATCATATGCCAAACACCCAAATCTCATGTAGATATATATATATGATTTTTATATATAATATACTACAAATAACGTCTGTGGTGCTTTTCCATATATCATTTTTCTTCCCGATCACCGAAGCATAACAACTGTTCTCCAAAGTGCTTGGGCACATGGAGTGAGGTTCAGCGGGTCTACAACCCTTGCCGGCTTGTGGTAGTGGCTTCAAAAGGATTGACACCACTTGGATTCAGTCTCACCCTGGCAAGCACGAGTCTGTGACTCAAGTGTGGCAAAACACAATCGATATGTAATGACTTCAACCTTCTCATGGAAATTGAGGTGCCTTTTACACTGGCTTTTCCGCAAAGCACCCCAGTTCAAACATACATAATGGTAATGCGGACATGGTATTAACCAACCCCCCCCCTATTAGTCTACCCAGGGTTCAGGCCCCAATAATAAACTAATTTGAACTATTGAACTACTAATTTCCACAGTCACCACCCTCTAAAAAAAATTTTGCTTGGCTGAACCCCCCCCTATTAGTCTACCCCCTGTCCCCCCAGGAAAAATTATATTTACCTCAATACTAATTCCCTTTCATCCCAACCCTTCCAAATACTAATTCCCTTTCATCTCAATTCTTCCAAATACTAACTCCCTTTCATTCCAATTCTTCCAAATACTAATTCCCTTTCATTCCAATTCTTCCAAATACTAATTCCCTTTCATCATCAGGTAATCCCCACTATTAGGGGGATGTGATCTCCAAAACCTCCAATCTCAGACCTTGTTGACCTTGTTGACCTTCTAGGGAGGGGGGCCGTTGATTAATACGACGTTGGCATTATGGCAATGTCTCTGACTCATTTGAGGTTTGGCGCTTGAAACATACCGTCCAACTCTGCCAGAACACTCTACCGTGCAAATCCAAGTGACCCAGCCGGGCTGAACACTAAAATTCCCGCGACCGAGAAGAGCCCTGGGCAGCGAAGGTCGGTCGGTCGTGATGAAACCCAAACAAATCCAGCTTTATCCTTAGGAGTTGTTGACTCTTGGGAATTGAAATGAAATCATGTTCATAAGAAGTTAGACGTGTTTTCGAATGCCATGGGTCCTCCAAACGGCTTACAAGCAACATGGCTAAACATTCGCATCACTCATCACCTTTCATGCTACCTTCTGCTCAAACCTGCCTCGGCTGTCGAAGCTTTTCAGCTCACTCCACGGTGCTGGCCTGAGAAAGGATTGAATCTGTGCTGGGCTGGAACGCAATGCTCATTGACACTTGTGAACATTACTAGTAGTAAGTAGTACAAGCTTACCTCACATTGAGTTGTCGTGCAATCTAAGGTGCTCCATGTTTCTTCGTCCCCATAATTATGGTCAAGCATCGACAGTGTGGTGTCACAATATTCAGGGAGGAACTGGTTACAGTTACCTTGTCAAGCTTGACCTAGTTGAATTCCTGTGGAACAAAGGCATGGAATACACACATCGGGACATAGTTGAGAATTGATGATTTGATGAACACGGACAACTGGAGTACATCTTTCACAGTCATCCAATCCTCACGTTCCAATTGAAGGACGCTCACCTGATGGCGTGAAGTGACTTCTCACCAAGCGACTGGGGAAGAAGCAACCCAGAGACGATCAGCATCACCTGATCGACGAACGGAGAGACGGACAGTGACATCAAATGAGTCAACACCGGACCATGAGGAACAAGAAGCTACTAGGAAGAAAAGGGCTAGTAGCAAGAAGCTAGTAGGTTGGAGGCCATCGCTATTAGGTTGGAGACCATGAAGCTAGATTCGATCAGCTGCTTGATCGAACGGGACCGCAAAACCGGATGCGCCGGGGTCCAAGTGACGAAGCAGCAAAGGTAGGCCTTGGTCCCAAAGGAAGACTTCTGCGAACCAAAGGTTTCTCAAAACATCCAAAGCCTCGATGGCGAGACCTGAGACCTGTCTTTAGCACGCCAAGCACAAAAAAAATTCACTTGCTGTATTTCTCAGTCGTCTCCCCAACTCTCCACACCTTTTGCAAAGAAACAAGCAGTCGGAACAAACATGGATTATTGATTATTGTCTTCCACTCTCAGCCAGATGCCGCCAGGGCTATCAGCAGCCAAGAGACGCAGTTGGACACCAAATTCAACCTGCTTCGCGGTGTAGCCAACATGTAGGCAAAGGCCACAGAGAGAAGCACAGCCCTGAGACGATGGAAAGTCTGTGGCCATTCAAAACTCAACATCTGATTGCAGAACTGACTTGAAGGAGTCTCTGCAGTGACACCTGATTCTTCAGTGACACTCTTCGCATCTCTTCGCAGTATTTAGAGCACTGACTCACAACACAAAGCCCAATGGAATCAGTTGGAATCTGATAAAAGGAATGTCTTCTCAGTGGCAAAGCTTTTAGCTTTAGCAAATTGTTCTCAGCCATGAGGATTGGCACGTCACAGACTTCCCACTGTGTACAAGTGTACACTTGCGCACAACATGCGAGCAAGCCACATGACAGCTTTGTGTTGAATATTGTTGGATTGTATACTGTGTATATATATAGAATGTGTGCCTCAGAACAAACGGGGCTGATCTGCGCTAAAACGACTTCTTTGCGTGCGAGCATCAAATTTCTGGATTTCTCATCGCCAAGAAGTTGACCTCAGTAAGCCACCCTGGTCATGTAAACTGTTTTGTCACTGCTTTGTTGCTTCTACAAATACGTAGTAGATAGATCCACGTTTGACTAAGGGTGTTGTGGCTCCACGATCCCGAGAACAAAGGCCCCCTACAGGATAGGTCAGCACCAAGATCCTCAAGACCCCAATTACATCTTGAAGACATGGGAACCAGGGATCGCAACCCACATCCCCCTGTTCTCGTGCATGCTAGCGCTGACGTGATCCAAGAGGCTGATGTTCATAGAAGCTCCAACGATGTAGCTCAACAAATACCCCCAAGTTTCCAGAGAAAGGAAGATGTTCGCAGCCTGGGATGCGAGTAGTGATCTTTCTACCGTCGTGGCCATGGATCAAACGTGTTTTTACTTCAATTTATATAAGTATATTATTCCTGCAATCCAGGGAGTTGATGAAGTGCCTAGCTTGCTTGCCCCATTCAGGATTCAATGTTGATAGTGGAACATCTTTAAGGCGTCATGGACAATTCAAGCAAATGTCACGCACAATGTGTCAAGGTACGCATCTAATGTACTAAGCGCCCAAATCTGGGTGCTTCCTGAAATGAACACTGCCTACTTGAGAGAGGAGGGGGTGAACGAAAGGTAGCAGGCAATCACAAGTAACCCTGGTAGAAGTCCACGACGGCGTGAACCGGCGCAGGGGGGATTTGATCCAGGGGGGGGGGGGCCCCCCCCCCCGACGAACAGAATCAACTCTTACAGGACCAAATTCAATGCACAATCCCAACTCCTGATTGTAATACATTTTTGCTAAAGCAAGGAGAACTCAGGTAGCTCAAGCTACCTTTCGTGATCAGCTTTGGAATAAAACCAAATGAGCACCTCATCCTGTATAGTTCAAGCTCCCGCACGGGAGCAACCCACTCCTGGTTCTGTATGCAACATCTCTGCGCAAGAAGCTATGCATGCCCGCGAGCCAAAGGCATTCTCGACTAAAGAGCCTTAGGAGAACGAGCCGCTCACACTATGAATGGATCAGTCAAGCTATCGGTTGAGCCCCGCTTCGATTTCGAAGGAACACCAATTGCCCCTCCACAAAAAACAAAGAGGACACAAAATGATAAAACGTGACCTTTGTGGTGCAAACACGCAAAAAAGACAAACACACCCGGCCAAATGAGACCAGAAGTCTCAACACATTCCAAGCTGCCCCAGGTGTAGAGCTTGGACCTTGATGCCTCGCATGCTCGTTCCTTAGACCGCTAAGCCTCTCAAGGCCGAATTCCACGGGTCAAACAGAACATCAAGCGGTGACGACGAATCACTGGGGTGCTGAATTACAGTAGATCTTGGTGTTGAAGTCGTGTTGAAGTCCCATTGGCAAAGTTCGGCTTGGATCGCAAGTCATACTACTGTAATATAATCAGTGGTGCTTGTACAAGCTTCTAGTATCATTGGTACTATCGTGAATCATTAAGTATATTATCCTATTGGTACAAACCCTGGTGGTACACTCCTTCAAACAACTACCTGGCAGCAATACATGCCCCACCATTGCCCAACCCTGCGGACATCTAAGGTGCCAAGAAGAAGTCAGGTGCAATGCCTAGCACAGGGATTCGGACATCCACACACTATCAGAAACTGAAGACTGCGATCTGCTCCGCGCTCCTACCAAAAAACAAGCTTTGCCATTCCCGTTCCAAATGAGGCTAGAAATGGCAACATTTCCACGGGTTTAGATGGTTTTGGAAAGTGGTGCACAACCCTTCGTCCACTGACAAGGTGGTGGATTGAGAATCACGAAGCAACCATGTCCTGCCTTGGTTTAAGTTCGGAAACTAGGAGCGTAGGGTTCGGAACCTCATTAGCAACAAGCTCTTCATACCAGTTTAACATGTTGTCACCACTCCAATCCTCATGGTGCCCCCTTCTGTAATAAAAACAGTTGCTCACATGAATGTCACGTCATGTCAGGTACCCCACCCCCACCCCCGCCACCATCACCACCTCCACAACCCCCGCAAACCTCACCAAAAAATAGTTTCTGAACACGACAAACACGGTTCTGAACTCGACAAAATAAATAGTTTCTGAACCCGGACAACAAAAAAATACCAGACCAGTTGCTGAAACCGACAAAACCAGTTGTTTATGAACCCAAGAAGCTTCTGAACCCATGGTTTTAGTTTCTAAACCCGGGCCAGTTTCTGAACTTACTTTGTCCGTCCTGCCTTTGTTCCCTGCCAGCAGCGGTAGCGAAGGTTGCGCTTGCAGTGCCCAGACCAATAGGTGTGCAGTATAAGCGGAGCACAAAACCTGAAGCAGTTGTGGTTGGAAATCAAACCTTGACTCGCTCTGCACTTCTGTTCAATTGTAACAGATGCTGCTTGTATTCACCGTACATCTTGTTCCTTCGACACTTTCAACACTTGCAATCCCAGCAAGTCCAAAGGACGGGTTAACGCTGGTAACCGTTAGCGTACAGGACGCATTTCACCTCCCAACGTCCAAAACCTCATTTTCACATGTTTTTCACGGCCTTTCACCCTCTTTTTACGGGCTTTTCCCGGCCTTTTCAAGTTTCCAGCTCCCGTTTTGCTAAAGCCCCGGTTAAACTGGTGTGTTACTAAAGAACTGGTTAAACTGGTGCGCTGACCCACTGGGAATGCAAGTCTTGCATGTCATGATCTCGTAAGCATGCGGAAAGAATCATGCAACAACCATCTCAGCAAAAAGTCTGGATGTCTTCATTCCTGTCGCTGTCGCTGTCGCAAGAACGCCAAGGCACTACAAGTAAGATCAGCGGGGCAGCGATGAAACCGGCACGGGACATAGCATATGGCCTGGGACAGCTTACTGGCTCACAAGCGTGAATTGGGTGAAGTAGCGATTTGTGTCCATGTTTTGCAAGCATTAACAATCATTAACAGCTTTGGGCTGGTTTCAGGTACCGTCACCAGAAAACACCACTATGGCTGTAGATCTCGGCGATCCATCTACTGTAATGATGTTGCCGTCTTGAAACGGGCAAACACAATCACTTATACCTTGTTCAAAACGCCCCACGTGCCACGAGCCGTGAAAGGCGGATGACCATGTCTTTTTCTTGATACAAGTTCCCCGCTCCTCCCCCTTGCATAATACTTGGGACTTGCGTACTTGCTTCTACTTTGGTGACCTTTTTGCCGACAAAAACATTGCTTCGATGCTGCAACCGGTTTTCCAAGGCACATGGACAAGACGCCCACACCCATGACGCCAGAGAAAATGGCCAGGCTGGCATCCCAAACACCAAGACGTTGCTCAAATGATCTCTGATAGCCTGGACGACGTCATACGGACACGACATAGGTGGGTGGGTCCACCCACCACCTGCTCCACCGTCGGGTGGACTTCGTGTCTCGGGTCCCCGAAACGGTGCGTCCTTCCCATGTGACACGACCACGTCTGACACCGTCGAAGGACGAAGGACCGACCGTGTGCTTGACGGCGAAGCCCGTGTCCGGATGAGGAACAGAGTAACTGGAAGATGTGGGGTTTCGTATTGCGAGGGTCTCTTTTTCCCCCTCTGATCTGAGTTTCTTTCTGAAGAAACGCAGGCTGTGGGATTGTATTGTATGATCTCCAGTGTGTCCGTTCCTCATGTGCTATGGAGCAACATGCTTGCTGCTTGCATGTGAAGTATGGGGGATGCTTCGAGGGGATGCTTGGCCGAAGTTGATCATTCCATCCCCCACGTAAGTCTGGCGCCTCAAAAAGCCAAGCCATGATATGCCAGGACCAGTCTATCCATATCCAAGTACATGACACCTCAAAACTTCGTTTCCGTAGGTTGCTGCACCTAAAGTTGAACTTGTAGTATTTTACTTTGAACTGACTGTTAGAGTTTCAGGATTCTGGCATCCCCCCTCCACTCCTGGCTGTGTCTGGCAAGCGATCGCTGCTTTGTCCCTCACAGTCATGGCCAGAATTGCCAGCGCACTGCAGAATGTTAAGGCCAGTGATAGAGTCGGCCAGAACACCAGCAAAGCATCAGGACGAAAGCTCCTCGGGACCAATGAGCCAAACCAAACATGTGTGGATGATGAACTTGGCGCTGCTGCAGCAGGAAATAGCAGGATACTGTATATGATTATATATGCAGGAATGCCTATTCTGCTGGAGTGTCAGTGTGAAACAACACCTCGCCAGCCAAAGCCATGGCAGGTGAGAATCCCCAGTAGACCAATCGAGTCTCTTTTGTTGATCACCCGGTACTGTTCTCTAGGCCTTACTCCAAAGTTTGAATGTTGTATGAATGTTGTATAGGTTGTGCTTATGTCAAATGCAAGTACATTACATGCTCGAACGAACTACAGTACATGCCACGCGTCTGACAAGTCTTTTCTAGCATGGTGCAATAATGCGGAGAGCGGAGGAACGGGAGAAAGTCAACCTGTTAAACATAACATACTCACTCACTCCATCTTCGAAGAAGCTGAAGACTTTCGCTCTGAAACATATCGCCGGCCCCCGGCTTCACATATTTTGGATGCTAAGAGTTGGAGTCGCCGTTGGTCCAAGAGTCGCTGGTGTAATCGCTTCCGGGCCAGAAGGGTGCTGGACGTTCGCCACATGAGGATAGCGCGTGAACCTGAGGTGAACGTGTTGTGTCAAGAGCTTGGGCGAACGAAAAGACCCACCGGGAAAGATGTCACATGAGACTTGAAGATGTCTGGTAGTGCTGGTAATTCTCCGATTTGCTCTGCAAACTGAAAGGTCTCGCGTCACAAAGATGTTTGGAATCCATTCTGCTCTTGCCGTCCCAACCAAGCCGAAAGACTGGTGGGAAGCTTTCCTCTCCGGCTCTTTGATGGCGTGTACCTGCAAAGTGCCCAAAGTGCTCTCGGAACCTCTTCTCGGCTTGAAACATGCCATTTTGCATTCAATCTGATAACTGTTGTGGTCAAAACGTCCGAAAGTCCTGGGCAACAAAAGGTTTCACAATAACTATTTCTTTCTAAGCAGTCAACAGTTTTAGATTGAAAACAATTCACTGCATACAGAATCATACAGACATCTACAGTACATACTTACATACTATCCTGGTCACAAACATGACTCATCTTCTTTTTCTCTCAAGGAATTCCCGAGCTGCCCCTGTCGCGTCACCCGACGAAGAATTGTCACTCGTCTGCCTTGATGACTGGACGCTTCGTCTGCACCAGCGAGGCGGACGTCGCCGGTGGCGACGCCGCACAGGTGACCTCTGCAGCAACCTCAACGGTGGGTGACTCGGCGCAATGTCAACACGCACGCATGAGAGTCAAAGTGTGGATGTCGTTTCAAACCATGAACACATCAATCATCATCATCAATCATTCGAGGGGTTCAGAGGATTTTGCCTATCGCTTGTGGAGGCCTGTGGGATACATCATGCTGTGGATCACAGTGTGTTTAATTGGAGTTCTTCAAGTCTTTCAATGTCTTTCAAACCATTGTTCTTTCTGAACCATTGGGCTTCAAAACCACTGGAAATCTGATGCAATCTCTTCGACTGTACGTGTTGGCCGACTGGCGCCCTGTCGACCCTGGCAATCTGTTGCCCAAATGTGTCGGCGTGGCATCTACAGAAGGGTTCCAAACATTTGTTAGACAACTTGGCTCTCATCATATATCCTCTGCCGCTCTACAAACTCCTTGCATCTGCCGAAGACTCCACCTACAAATACAAACTCCTGTATGTCATCTGCCGAAGAGGTGTCTGACATTTATGATTTTCATAATGTCATAGTACGCTGCATAGTCTGGTTGGCAATGGTCCGAGTTTGCAACAGCATGTCTGCCACTCTTCATCCGGTCCATGAAAGTGGACATCTCCAAGCGCCTCTGGCCACTATTACAAGAAGCTTGGCCTGCAATTTTCTTTCGTGGTCCCCACCCAGTTGCAGAGAAGGGACTGAATTCACCAAGACAAACAGCTCCAAGAGGGACTTCACCATGAATTCAGTTCAGTTCAGGAAAGTTGGCTTTGCCATGGCGTTAGTTCACTAGGAGTGAGGTGGGAAGGATGTAAGATTTGAGCCAGCGACTCTGCGAAAGGTTTTGGGACATCAACACTCCGTCTGCTTTGGAAGTCTGCACAAAATCTTCGCGGATATAAAATCACAAAGAGGACGCTACTAGTAACAAAAGGCATCGCTACCAGGAGCAAGGACGCTGCTAGGGGCTCCTGGCCTTACTGCAGGTTTTGCGAGTCTCCCCCCCCAGCAATTGTGTCGTGAGACACCGCTCCCTTATTCAGGGAGCCCGTCTCGGTGTACGAGTCTGCCAAGGGCGCCGTCTCAGTGGGGCAGGAAGTCCTGAACGACAAATGCAGCTGATTCCTCCAACCTTCTGTGGCCAAAAGGCTTGTCATAAAGGCCAAATAATCTGAGTAGCTGCGGAGGAACTCTTGAAAGGAACCTCCCACTAAAGTGTTCTAAAGGCTGACATATATACTGTATATATATCATAATCATAATGAATAAACTACCTAAGTAAGTACAGTATAGTGAGTCCTCTCCATTATAGTACTATCTACCATTGCTTCTTACCAAAGGCCATGCTAGACCTCCCCAATGAACCCACCAGCCTGGAGTAATCACGAAATCTCCGATGAACGCCAGGACCTCGGCTCCAGAGTCTCAGGACATCAAAGGCAGATCAAACCATCCAATACGTTCAAAAGTGCTGTTCTTGTTGTTGTTGTTGTTGCTGTTTTAGCTCGCGGCCCTGCCTCCTTATAACTGTATCATTAAGTAAGCGCCTACCTATATAATTAAGTAAGGAGGCAAGCTACTAGCAATAGAAAGCTTCAAGCTAGGATGCAGGATACGCTTCTTCTAAGAAACTCCCCCGAACGAAGGCGGGGGGAGCTTCCTTGAAGAGCGGCTCGTACTAATGATTTGGTTTCCAGACCTTTAGGGAAACTTATACAACTTCAAAGAAGAACCAACTATAACTATATATATTATAATATAAACAAATTCACAGTCTTCCGCCAAATCAATCTTGCAACTCTGTCTTCAATCAAACACAAACAAACAGTCCTGCAACTGCTTTTGAAGTTGCTTATAGTGCGTTCCAAAGTCTTGACGTTGGCCGAAGTACCGTCGGCATTGTTTCAGCAATGGTCTTCCCAATAGTCTTGACATTTAGGAAACAGCTGTTTCACTGTTCAGTTGACATGTGGCATGTTCGCTTTAGCATGCCCATGTGACAGTCGTTTGCAGGCCAAATTGTGTTTGTTTGCCTGTTGTTGTCTTAACAATTAAGCAAACACTATCTGTAAAAAGTCCTTCATGCCATGACTCTGGGGAAAAAACTGAGTCGGAGTGTGCTTTGGATAGTTTTAAGCTTTAGTCTTAGCACCAAACTGGCGTTCAGGCACAGAGAATTCTCTTTCATCACTGTCTTGTCCGTATGCTAAAATCCTATGTTGGGCCTGTTTGGAGCTTTGAATAGTCGGTTCAGCCATAGTCTTGACACCATGGTAGACCATGGGAGCACAATCCCTTTGCACCAGCTGATCATCAATCTCTGTAAAAATAATCGTTCTTTGATGCAAAAACACTGTTCTTGTGGGGGTTTAGGCTGCAGTCTTGACATGTAAAATGCATTTTAATATGCACGCTTTCACCAGGGTCTTGACATACAAAAATCCCGGTGTACATGCTCCAAATGCCTAGTCTTTGGAACCGACGACAAACAGGATACACAAAGAGCTCAACCCCTCCGAAGTCAAGCTTGCACAACGAGTTGGAGCCACATGCTCATGAACAAGGACATGTGGATTTGTCTTCCG